CCCGAAACACCGGCTTCGTATGGCTGAGAGGCTGGTCTGGTGAAAAATTAGTGCGTTTAGGCCAGGGTTCGGCTTCGTGTGGACGGGGCCTTAGCTTTATTTCACTTAGTGTGTGGAAAGCATTATTGTTTGCACAGCCTTCACCTAGCATTCTGCTAAACTTGATTTGCATAAAGAATAGAAGAGAATAGCAGTGCTGTCATCTGAGCTAATCCATTGTGCTCCATTATAATGCATGTCTGAGTTATTGTTCATAATTAACTGCAAAAAGATTTGTTAACAAGAGCTATTCAAACAACACATTTCACAATTACAAACGTCCTGTTTGTTCAATATTAGCAACCAGTTCAGCTTATGCTAGCCATGCTAGCGCGGTAAAGTTAAGCCCAGTGGTGACTCCCGCTCTGCGCCCCACCCCCGCTGTAGAAGATGCTTTCAGTGAAGGAGAAGGTGCTGATACGGCTGCAGATGGAGACGTGCACTATGGTAGGTGGCAGTGGGCCATTTTTATTTTTGGAGGTTGCATATTATGTTAATAACTTGTTAGGGTGCGACAGTGACGGATATAGCTAGAGCTGCACCGTGTATAATGGATACCTGGAGGTTTGAATTATAACATATGGATGAATGCATCTATATGTAGTACTCGAGTTTAGGGGGGATGAAGGGGGATGGCATCCCCCTTGTTACGGCTACTCTTGCATCAAAAGGGTTTCCCAAAAAATCAAAAATTTCCAGAGTAGTCTTAGGAGGAAGTTTTTGGACTCACAAAACAAAAAAGCACTCGAGGAGAATTTTCTTGTTAAAAAAATTGGTGTTTTCTTTACTTATAAAAAATAACAGAAATATTCTCCGAGCTGACTTACAAAAAAATCAAATATAAAAGTTAAGTGATGTGTGTGAAAAAACTGTTGCACTCCTCACTCCTTCAAACAAACAATCAGATCCACCTCATCCGCTGCTCCTACTTGTTAATCTCAGCAGGAGGCGGACTGACAAGGAGGAGGGTCAAAGCAAAACCAATACATAAACAAATAAACAACAGCTCTACCATTCACACAACCTTAGATCTTTAACATTAATCATTTTGGGAAAAATAAATTAATCTAATTCTTAATAGGCTCCAACACCCCTGCTTTAAAAAAATCATCCCCATTCTTAAATGATCATCCCCGTGACATTTTTTCCCTACATAAAAGACATTTCATCCCAGCGCTGCGTGTCCCGAGCCCGTGACATCATCAATGACCCCTCCCACCATAGACTGTTCTCCCTGCTGCCCTCTGGGAAGAGGCTGATGTGTATTTTCTATCCGTGCAGGCTGCCTGTATTTCCAGTAATACCATCAAACTGCTCCTGATTCAGTTCATTTCAATGGCGGCCGCACCAACTGCTGCCAATCAGCTTCAAAGAGACACTTTATTAGAGGAACTAGTGACTTGCTAAGTGAGAGAATGGCTGCCATCCATGTGGATATACTCAGGAATCTGGAATAGTTCACTCAGCATCCACCATTATCTCTCACTAGTCTGTGGGCAGCGTTTAGTTATTTCATCATCCTTCCTCCCTGAGACCTAATAGCAGAAATTAGAGGAAATTAAGTAAATACTATAAAGGAATTATTGGGTAAACTACATAAAGTGGTCTGACATGTAACAGTTTCTAGGCTTCATTAAAAAAATTGAGAGAATGTCCAGGGACCCTACACTACTGGGTACGAGGGAAGGGGAGAGACATGCGGCAAAGGACCAGAGGTTGGATTCGAACCCGGGTCGTCCACGTTGATGTCTAAGGCGTATATTCGTCGTGTGCACCAGCGAAGTATGCCAGCATCACCAACCCAGCAGACGTTAGCGCTGTGCTGGTTTTCTGATGTAAAGTTATTGCATCAGATGTCATTCCTGAATAGAACAGCGGGCATGTTGACCTTGGTTATTGGCTGGAAGGATTGTTTAGTTAATCTCCAGCCTCCCAGATCCTCTGCTTTGGACCTACTGTTACCCCTGGCAACCCCATAGAATTTCTTTCAGGATAAAAGCCCAGGTGAACCTTAACATCACGGACTGCTGCTAAATTGTTCTCTATCAACAACCTTAGACTCTCCTTGGGGAGACCATCAGTTCCTGGAATAAAGATCTACTTTGGTTCATCCAGAGCAGCTCTGATTCAGCGGACTGGGCTCTGCTGGAGGTGAGGGAGGATGATCAACAGTCCTTCTAGGATGTATTTATTTGAAGTAGAAAAGCTTCTCCTCCATCCAGTCCCTGATTGGCCACCATGTTGCGTTTTCATAGAGAAGTTCAGTTGGTTCCATCTTCAGCGATCACCGCTCCTCTCTCTCCATGCGGTGCTGCTGTCTGACTCCTCAGCTCCATCTAGGAGCAGGAGGTGATGGAGGAGCAGTGAAGGCTCTCACTGCGTGGAGTTCACCGCTGGACGCTTCACTGCATGGTTTCCATAGGAATTCTACGGGAATCCAGGGCCTTTGGCTGTCGGTTGTTTTCAGTATTGAGTAATGTTGCAAACTTATTAAACAAAATTATACTTCAATAAGGCTCATTGGGCAATAAAGGTACAAATATGTTAACCTGTTGTTGTCTGTGATTATTTATATCGTGAACCATTTATCACTCAGAGCAGATTCACCCTCCTTTGGTTAACATTTGGATAAACAGAAACCATTTCTTTGGATGGTGATTAATAACTCATTTCAGTTATAATCATTTAACTATCATTTTACTCTTAATTTGAATTAATTATGTGGTTAGGTTGGGGTTAGAGATGGTTAGGTTGGGGCTAGAGATGGCTAGGTTGGGGTTAGAGATGGTTTAGGTTAGGGCTAGAGATGGTTATATTAGGGTTAGAGATGTTAGGTTGGGGTTAGAGATGGTTAGGTTGGGGTTAGAGATCGTTAGGTTGGGGCTAGAGATGGCTAGGTTGGGGTTAGAGATGGCTAGGTTGGGGCTAGAGATGGTTAGGTTGGGGTTAGAGATGGTTAGGTTGGGGCTAAAGATGGTTATGTTAGGGTTAGAGATGG